GTTCTTGTGAAAACGTGCTGCTGTACTGTTAAAGCAGCTTCCAGTTCCTTCAATTTTTCACCACGTTCATTCCCAGTTAGCTTGTTGTAGTTACCATGTTTCGTCTGGTAGTGCCTCTTGATATTGAATTCCTTGAAAACAGCCACAGTCTCTTGGCAAATTAGGCAGACACAGTTGTTTTGTATTTCAGTGAAAAAATACTCCAATTTCCACTTGTCCTGGAAGCGACGGCCCTCACTCTCAACTTTCTTTTTTTTCGTTACAGTCGCCATTTTAGAAATGGGCACACAAGCTTTGTGTCACAAGGGTCACGCAACGAGAGTGCTGACTCAGGTCTACTGCCCTCTTCTGGTGAAATATAACCACCAGCCTTGAAGGCGGTGTTCAGCCAGCTGTGGATGGGCAGCAGGGGACAGCTGCGGGAACCGCTGTGCGGTGAAGGAAAAAAAGCCAGCCAGCGGGGATGAGTGACAGGCTGAGCTGGTGGGGAGAAGAGGCTGCGGGCTGCTTGAAATTTGGAAATGGACCGCAATTGGCCCCCAGGCCAGACTTTGGACATGCCTGCTCTATATCAACAATTTACATGATCAACTTAAAAGCAATTGCATTCTCTTTGCCGATGACATAAAATTATTTAATACTACAGATAATTCTGGTGTTTTGCAAAGTGATTTCGACTATGTGGCTGAATGGTCATCCATTTGGCAACTTCAAATTTCGAGTAATAAATGTTCTGTCTTACATATTGGTAAACGTAATCAGAATGTCAAGTATAAGTTAGGTGGTATTGATCTAGCCGATGACCCTCAGTGTGTTAAGGACCTAGGTGTCCTTATCTCTGATGATCTATGCTCCAAAGTTCACTGTAACAGTGTTGCTAAAAAAGCACTAAGAGTTGTAAACTTAATTCTACAAAGCTTATTTTTTGGAAACATTGTATTGCTAACTAGAGCTTATAAAACTTATGGTAGACCAATCTTAGAGTACTGTTCAACTGTTTGGAATCCCTACCATATATCTGACATTAGTGCAATCGAGCGGGTTCAGAAGTATTTTATGAGAAACATTTTGCACTCTTCTGTACATAATAGAATTCCCTATGCTACTAGGCTTGAAATTCTTGGTCTGGATTACTTGGAACTGTGTGTCAGACATAGGTATTGCATACAAAATTGTACGTAGTAATGTTTTACCTGTAAATGATTTTTTTCTGTTTTAATCACAATAATATACATGCTGTGAGAGAAAAACCCAGTTATTAAATCCTCACAACACAGAGACAAGTCTGGTTCACAATTCAAAAAGGTTTATTTACAGAAAAATGCAAAGCGTTTGCAAAGGCGGCCTCCAAGTCTCTTCCCAAGTGGATTGAGTACAAGGAGAGCAAAGAATAGCATTCAAACAATACATTTTATGCACTCTACTCCTAAGAAACTCTCCCCCTCCTGCTCATTCATTTAAGTCATTTCTTTTGTCATTCCATATTCTGAAGGGTCAACTTGACAATTTCTTGAGAGGCCCCCATCTCTTATTTCTTTTTTTTCTGGTGCCTTTCATCTGAGCAGATGGCTTCCTATCTAACTTGTACGTAGGCTCCTGTAAACAGCTTGGAATAACAAAGATTATCTTGTCCTGTTTACTAAACACATTTTATGGTTAACAAAAGCACAGTAACTTATTACACATTTTAGGCAAGAATATAATGGCGTATACATTTAACATTATAAAGGAATACAAAAGCAACCTTTTAACATTTTATAAAAGAGTAACTTAATATCATTTCCTTCAATCCCCACTTTTTCTCTTCTTAGTAACTTACTCTTTTATACCTGAATTTTTTTTATACCTACAATCATTCATAATGTCCTAACTTCCCCTTAGGTTCATATGGAAGCAAGTTTTTACATTGAGTTATCCATCTCCATTCCCTGCTTCCCCACTTTCATTTTTAGCATAGTCTCTTTCTTTCCATTTGTGATTGATATAATTATTAAGGTCATACTGCTCATAGTCCTTTTTATTAACATTTGTATGAGAGGAATCAAGCATGGTAAAAACATGATAGCTAAGAATCCTATTATTGCAAATCTTTCCAATTTGAAAACCACCCACCAAAATTAATATTTCCTTCAGGCTGATTTGTCCGGCCTACAACGTATCCACGCCCGAGAGCTCCGTGCAGAGCTTAAAGAACTCTTGAACAAAGGCGAAAGAGATTTTATATATCGACTTCCGTGATGACTGTATTAAACGTAAGAACATTGGCCCACGCCCTAGCATTCGTGCTCCTGTCCACCAATGTTAGGTGTGCACCCCCCATCTCCTTAACATCCACTCCTGCTGGTTTAATGTGTAAATTATTTAATGCAAGAAGCCTCACAAACAAAATGCCTAAAGTCCTTTCGCTCTTGAACACATCTTTTTTTTACCTCATTTTTGTCTGCAAGACTTGGTTGAATGCATTTTTTCTAGACACTTCTTTTACCACAAGTGATTATCATGTTTTTCAGTCTGACCGTGAGCAGAGGTGGTGGTGTTGCAATTTTTTATTTAAAAAGTCCCTAGGATTGAAAAAGATTGTTACTCCTGAGCTCGTTTTCTCAGAGTCAATTGGCTACAACCTGACTTTAAATACTACAGTTCGCTTTTTGTTATGCTACAGAGCCCGATTGTGATCTTGGCCATATGAATAAGTTAATTGAACTATTAACTCCTTGCCCACATCCTTTTGTTCTTCTTGGTGATTTTAATTTGCCATTAATTAATTGAGCCTTAAATGAATCAACAAATGAACCTATACATGTAACTTTTTACAATGTTGCTACAACTTTGGGGCTGGAACAGTTGTTGACAACACTAGGCTCAACAATTGTCTAGATGTAATTCTTTGTAATAGCTTAAATTTAATTTATGGTCTATACGTTAGAGAACCCTTTTCTAAAAGTGATCATAATATGATTGACTTTTGCATTAATCTGCATCCTCCTGAACTGGGTCTTAATGACTTCTTCGAATTATAATTTAAAAAAAAGCAAACTATGATTTAATAGCTGCTAATCTAGCATCTTTAAATTGGCACCATCTGTTTTCAGGTTGTAAAAATGTAGAATATTTTTATAACAATTTTTTGCTTGAAATTAATTGAGCTATGAATTTATATGTACCAAGAAAAACCAAAAAAGTTATAAAGAATAAATTATCCAAGACAATAAGAAAATTACAATCTAAGAAAAAATCTCTTTGGTGGAACAAGAAGACAGGCTACATTGTCAACTTCAAAAGCTGCTTCAAAGCCTTATGTCATCAAATTAAAGACGAATGCACTAATTATTTCTGTAAACAGGAGGAAAAGCTGTTAAACTCTATGCAAGCCATTTACAACTTTGTTAACTCAAAACTTAAAGACTTGCAAGTGTTTCCACCCTTAAAAGGGCAAAACGGGGTTGATTGTAATGACAGTGTTGGTCAGGCCAATCTTTTCAATACATTTTTTAGTTCAGTTTTTGTGGACAGCAAAGGTTGCAGTCCCTCATTCACAAGTCGAACCACAAATAGTTGTAGCAAATTGCTGAATATTAAATTTACCATAATGTTGAACTAGCATTATGTAATCTAAAGCTATCACTATCCACAGGTTCAGATGGGCTATGTGCTTTCTTTCTTGAAAAAGCTTGCTACTGTCCTAGCTGAACCTTTGTGTACAATTTTTTAAGTATCGTTTCAAACTAGTTCTCTGCCTGATCTATGGTCATCAGCTATAGTTATACCAATCTTGAAAAAGAGTGACTCCTAGTTCAGTTGAAAATTATAGACCAATTTCTTTGTGTTGTGTCACATGCAAAGTTATGGAATCAATCATAAACCAATCCATTGTTCACCACTTATAGACAAATAACTGACAGTTTGGCTTTAGGAAAAACTCATCCTGAAATTTACAACTTTTGCACTGTAAAAATATCTGGACTACATGTCTTGATCAAGGTAAATGCAATTTACATAGATTTTTGTAAAACTTTTGATACAGTAGTATATGATAAACTGCTGTTGAAATTAAATTCTTACGGCATTTCTGGACCTTTGTACAAGTGGATTGCTGCTTTCTTGTCTATTAGACTGCAGAAAGTCAAAATAGGGAACTCGCTGTCTAATCCTGCATCAGTTAACAGTGGTGTTCCACAAGGCAGCATTTTAGGTCCCACGCTTTTCTTGCTCTATTATCAGGGGTGTCCAAACTTTTTGCAAGGAGGGCCAGATTTGGTGAGGTGAAAATGGGTGGGGCCGACCATTCAGCCTGACATTCTTTGAACCATTAACATTAAATGCAAATGAACTATTTTATGAATGACTAAACAAATAACTGCACTAAGGTGAAGGGTGATACTGAGATCTTGACTGCATTATATAGGCCAGGTCTGGCTCAAAAACAGTGGTTTTGATGCACAAGATGTCACGCAGGTGAAAGTCACTTAGTCTCGTCCTCACGCGATTCTTGTTAATGTTCATAACCGAGAATGTCTTCTCGCACAAGTATGTCAAACCAAACAAGCTCAGCATTTTCTTAGCAAATGTTCGAATCTCTTAAACCTGTCTTTATCCAGCTGGCGGTAAATGTTGACAAGAGGGAGCTGTTGGTGCTGACCGAGACACTCGGCGTCACACTGCAGCTCAATGAGTTCCAGCTNATATTTTGCATGTATGCTATTCTTTTTACCAATAAAGAATAAGTACAATAGTTTTTGTCAGCCTTATCCATCCTCTAATTATATAAACTTCAATTCTGAATAATCCTTGGCCAGCATGGCAATTGCTGAGAACTAGGAAATTTGGCACACAGGTTGGAGAAGAATGAATTGTTTAATAAAATATGTCACCACTGGGATTATAGAACTAAAACTTTTCAGTAAACAGATTTAAAACAACCTTTCACTGGCTGAGTTTATATATACTATATAATAAAAAACAAATCAATTATACTGTGTCTTAGCACATAATTAACATACCTGATCAGAAGTGTTCTTCAAGCGGATAAATTTCCCATCTACATCTATCTCCTCAATACAGATATTCCCAGTGGCAGAAGCTGAGTGAGCGATACTAACACTACTACTGGCCTCTGATTCTTCTACATCAACCCTCTTTCTCTTTGCCCTCGTCGTACGAACACTACGGCTTGATGATGCCCGAGAGACAGTTACACGAGAAGATGGGCTGGGAGTAAGTTTCAACCTGAGGAGAGAAATTCATGAATAGTTTTTTTAAAACAATGTCTTCATCCATCTTGTGTTATGAGCTGGTAAAAGTTCAGGGTAAGGTTTGTGAACCCAACTCATGAATAAAATAAGTCAATTAATCTATATTTAAATTAACATACAGGCTTACATTTTCAAATACAAACAGTTCAATTATTGTCTCTACCCTCTCCTTGCATAACCAACATTATGAATTCAGGCTAGTTTTTAAGAGGTTTCAAAACAAAGGCTAACCAAAGAATAATGAATTAAATTGTCTTTTATTCAGCAGAATACATTTTAGGAGAAGTGGTAGAAAGAAAGAAAATGACACATAGATTTTCTGTTGGGAGATACAAAACATGACCAAAGCAATCCAAAACTGAACTAGGAAAGAAAAGGGAGTAATGAATCTTCTAATTCTCAAGACTGCTAGTTCATAACAAGTAGGCTGGAAAGTATGGAAAGGGCTATATTTACTGCTATGCTATGGAAGTTCTTCCGCGCCCAAACATGTCTGTGAATTGTATAGTACTTTCACACCAATACACGAGCATCATAAGCAACAGTGGTTTGGCAGTTGGATGGGGAAAAAAAAATCCAAGAATATTGATTGGCAGATGTGGTGGCTAAGAAGACATTGATAAGATTGGCAGACTGGTGACCTGCAGACTATGTAGGAATTTAAAAGGCAGAGGCTGCTGAAGCCGTGTTCAATTTTCCCGATTAGTCTCCTCTGGAGTTCATTTAGATGAAAACTCTTCTAGCTTCTAGCAAGCAAAATCAATGAGGAAACCAGATTCACTTAACCACCATGTTATTAATTTAATAACTGCACTGATTCACTTAANGAAAAAGCAAAATAGAAAGAAGTGGAGAAAATCATAAAATACAAAACCTGCAGAGAATTAAATGACTATGCTAAAAGAAAGCAAAGATAGTACCAAGAGTAATATGTTATTTAGCACTGTAACAGGAGCTAAGAGCACACAAAACTTGTAACAATTTTTAACAAGTCAGATTTCTAGTTTATCATTTCTACAATTAATATAAATCAGCATTAGAAAGTTTTCAGCTAGTCAAAAAAATCTGAAAATATTCAAGTGTGAGTACTTTGGCATGGTATGTTTCTTCAAGCTCCTCTTTGTAAAGTTTCACTTGCATATCATGTTGTTCTCTCATTTCTTTCAGTGCTTGAGTCAGTTTGTATTCATAGTCTATCAGACGCCCAGAGTCCACCTCAACAAGGCGAGTTTCATGTTTCCTTCGTGTTTCATTTATTTCCTAAAAATAAATAAAGTTATAGTAAAAGCATTTTTTTTAAAAAGTAGGAATCTTATCAGGCTGTCATATTATGTTAGGGCTGTAATACTGAGTTACAAGATTAGGATCTTCAAGTTTTCCCATGCTAGCAATCCTCCTCAAAACTACTTCTACTGGTAACAGAGGCTAGCAATATTAATGACAAAGATGTGCTCAAAGAGGATCTGTGAGCCACAAACATTCTAGATAAAATAATGGTTTACCTAACCTAGCTAAAAAAATGTTTTGGTTTTAGAATCTCAACTCATTACCTCTTCATACATATTTTTTCGAAATTCCAAGTCTTCAATCAAACTTTGGCAGCGGTTTTCGAGATCCACTTTCAATAATGTTTCATCCACCAATTGTTTCTTGGCAGCTGCAAAAGCAGCTTCAAGCTTGAAAGAAATATTAAAATAAAATTATAGCACAAATTTCACCAGAATAGCACTACAGGAGAGAATAAAGTATCATCTGATCCAATATTTATATAATTGATCAATTACAGTATTCAAAACCTGCTTAGTAATATAAATATTTGAGATTTCTTTAATGTCTAAATTCTAAGATCCAGGTAGTCCTCAACTTACAACTGGTCACTTAGTGACCAAACTAAATAACGACAGACGTATGATGCTGTTTTGAACTTCCGACAGCTGCATATTTCAGAGTCTCAGCAACTGGTCCGCATTTATGGTGATTTGCAGCATCCAACAATCATGCAACTGCATTTTATGACATTTCAGTTGTAATCCTGCATTACTTCCAGTTATTTGTCCATAGCAAATAAATGATTCGTTTAACAACTGCAGTGGGCCCTTAATAACTGCAGCAACAAATGTTATAAAACTGGGTCAGTCACATGCATGACTTGTTTTATGACCACAACTTACAAATATAATGGGTAGGCTCCATTATGGTTGAAAGTCAAGGCCTATCCAATTCAATCAAGTATTTATTAATTTAATAAAACAGCCATAAGTTACTTTTTTCAATGCTGTTGTAACTTTGAACAGTCACTAAATGAACTATTCTAAGTCAAGGACTACCTGTACAGGTGACCCCCTTCAGAGAGGACAATTCAGTGAATAAGTCAGGTCTCATGTTTGGCAAAGATTTCTTTCCTCTAGTATGAATAGGGACCACATCTCTAGAGCAGGGGTGTCAAACTCAAGTCCATGGGCCAGATCCGGTCTGCGGGATGCTTAAATCCAGCCCGTGGGGCCAGCCTGTAAATATCAAAGGACCGGCCCGTGGTGCCTCTGCCGTGCAAAATTGTTTTCCGTAGACAGAGTGCTGCTAGAGCCGGAGAGGCCGAAAAAGGGCCATGTGGGGGCCTCTGCCAGCCAAAACCATTTTTGGCCAGCAGTGTTGCTGGCGGCTGGGCAAGTCGAAAACGAGGCACGGAGGGCGTGCGTGGCCACCCACCCACCCCTTTGGCCAGTAAGGTGCTGCAGGAGGCGTCCGTCCCCTCTCCTAACTACACCTCAACAAAGAACTGCAATATTGATCCGGCCCTCAAAGGAATCCAGTTTGACATCCCTGCTCTAGAGACTTCCATTTTAAATTAAACTCAGTAAACTATGGCTATTCTAGTTTTAGCTATAGTTAATTTAAAGAACCCTACTTTATTAAAATTGAGATGTAACATTTTAGCTATGATTAAACCATCATATCATCCTGAT